TTTATTGTTGTTTCTTAGTCTTGTTTTTGACTTTTTCCTGCTTTTTGTTTTGCTCCAGAAATAGTCAAGTGATCTGCGGGAAGAGTTTTTTTTTTTGAAAATATCATCATTTAATCTATTAATTTCGATTATTTTATTAATAGACTATAGTATAAAAAACAAAATAGATTTATTAGATATTAATTAAAAAAACAAAAAAGCATTCTAGAGAAAGAGATAAATAAACTATATATTGTTTAGGATTTTCTTCTGTTTCTAGAATATGAATAATTTATTGTCAAAAATTTAATTGATAAGACTATAAATACAACACTAAAATTGAATAAATATACTATATATTAAACTTATTATTATTTACCTTTGACTTTGACTGATATAGAAGGATTATTTTCTACTAATATAGGATTGCTGTCCACTAATATACTACTTGTCTAAGATCTCTAAAAATCAGTTAGATCTATTAAATTATATATAAATTATATTCATCAATAATAAAAATAAAGAAAACTAACTTCAAGATTCTCCTTATTAGGGTCAGACATAATAGTACTAGACATAGCAATAGTTTTAGGTTCATCCTAATATATAATAAAAATTTAAATTATTGTGTAAGTCAACTATAATTAATAATAAAATACTCAATTGATTTATTTTATAATAATACTTTAGATTATTATTATTAAAATAGTTAATCATTACAACACAAGTCAAATTAATAGTAATATTTTTTATCTAACAAAGTTTCTTCAATAATAGCCAACTTCTTCATCAGAATTAGTAGACTTTACTAGCAAGAAATTCTTTTAAATTATTTATTTACTGCCTTGAAATTAACTATCTAACAAGTAGCTTAAGCAATTGATTCAGTATCTACCTTTGCACTAATGCTGAGGTTAGACTAAATCTGAACTAATATCTATATAACTCTTCTTGATTATACAGATATTCATTTACATACCTATCTAGAATCAGATCACAATATTATTTTTCTTGAATTTACTCTTCTTCACTTCTTTCAAGAAACACAAAACTACAATCATAGAAAAATTTTCTTATAGAACAAAACTTTTCCTCAACAAATCTCAAACTACCAACAAAAAACTAAATACAATCTTCAACACCTAAACAAACCAATCTCACAAATTAGTAATCTTACAAATATCAATTAAATATAAGACAAACTAAACAAAATATTTTACAAAACAGTATTCAAATATATTTCTTATAAAAATATTAAAGATAACATAAAATATATACCTCAACAATCATCAAAATCTTCCTTCTATTCCTAATACTAATAACTCTAACTAATAACCTCTTCAAATACCTAATAGCTTCAGACAACAAAATACCATACAGCACTCGCCT